TAGTGGGATTAGAAGTTGACTGGCAGCTCGAAAGAGTTAAACATTGTCAAGCACAAGTAGTTCAATTACATGGAACGATGGCAAAGTTACGATGTAGCGCTTGCACAAATAATTATTCATTTGCAACACAATATTGTGACGTTTTTAAGCAAGGTGAGGCGCCAAATTGCCCCGGATGTGAAGAGAGAGGTAAATATCACGAAAAAACGCGAAAAAACGAAAGTTTAAATAAGATAGTTTAGTTTAAAATTTTGCTTTTATTAAATATATTTTAAGTTGATAATAAAGCGTAGATATGGAGAAAGGTTGATTAACTATTAATTATTCACACTTCAAATAAAAATAGAGGACGCTAGAATCGAACAAGGTAGACGACCACATACTATTGGACAACTAAAACCTACAGTAATTCTTTACGGAGATTCGCATCCTAAAGGATTAGAAATATGTCAAATCGCAGCACAGGATCAGGATAAAGCGGATTGTTTGGTAATAATGGGAACATCTTTAAGAATTCCAGGAGTAAAAGCTCTTATAAAAGACTTTGCTAGAGCGGTTCATGATCGAGAAGGTTATGTTATATTGGTGAATGCTACAGATGTAGTTACTAAAGAGTGGAATGGTGTAATTGATTATCAAATAGAAGGTACCTGCGACGAGTGGGTTAAACTTGTTGAAATAGAATTATCAAATATCGAAAGAACAGCGGCAACGAGACTTTTGAAAAGTAAATCGGCCGAAACAAATAATAATAAACCATTTTAAAAAAAGATAAATGTATAAATGAAAGATTAGAGTAACATCCGCTGATAATTGATCATCACTTCGTCGTGTCATGTGTCAAAAATTAGGTCATGTTGGGTCACATATGTCACATATGTACGAAATTAAAAAAAAAAACCGAACTTTGCAGACATTGTAATCGATTTTAGTTGCACATGTTTTTACTTAATTTTATTGGATAATTTTATAATCATTAATCGGGTAAAGAAATTTTTTCTGAAGCTTATTTAAATAGATAGATAGTCATTTAACGATTAGTTTCTAAAATTTTAAATCGATTAATTTCGATTCATATTACTATAGTGATTACCTATCTGCTATGCAGTACGTGTACTTAATTATTACTTGACGCGACCGTGATGATCAAATTATATGTATACAAACCGTCAGCCCAAGCGAGGGTAACATTAAAATTTATTAAAAAAAAAAAAAAATTAAAAGAATGCTAAAATTAATTAGCAATGCCATGCACCATATTTGAAGTTGACTTTGCGATGACAAATATGAATGACTCACCCGAAGAAATTCATGAACCTCTTCTTTTACCGCTGGTACAAACATTCTGGAACTAAAACAAGATAACAAAATAAGGCATTAGTAATGTTACGGGGTAAAAATGATGATCCCGGAAGATAAAGCCGGAGCTGCGCTGAGATAGCCCAAAGTGGCGACATTAAGTTTTATGGGCGGTCGATCCAAATAAGGAAAATTACCCTAAAGGAATTCACCTATGCCCCAACTTTCACACAAGTTTTTGGGTCTAGTCCACAAAAAATGACGCGATAATCACATTATTAAATCATAAGATAGCAGCTAACATCCAAGATCCCTCAATATATTCAATTGAAACTATCTAAAAGATGTGCGAGGCAGGGATACATAGAGATAACTATACCTATTGAACCCCAAATCCAAAATCACCAACGTCAAGATGCGAATTTGTGACTTCGTCCAATCAAATTTAAGATCAGGAGTAACGTGAAAATCACGCTTTTTGGTTTTTGTAAAAAAAAAAAAAAAAAAACGCTCATAATTCAAAATTTTGCTTAATAAACCGCATTTTAACAAAAAAAAAAAAATTCCTTGCAAAATTTTGCATAAACTAAGCCTTTTGCTAACCCTAAGCCTAACCCTAAGCTTTTTTTTACACTTTAAATCTTTTACTTGTTTTGATTTTTTAATTGGACGTAAGTCACATGTTCGCAAAATTTTTGATCTAACTATACAATTTCCCCGTAACAGTAAAACGAAAAAGGAAAAGCAGAAAAATAAATTACTTAACGTTAGCTTCAAACCCTGTATAACGAAGAATTTCCAGTAGATCCTTCGTGACAATGAGACGAATTGAGTTCAGGGATAAAAAACTGAGGAAATTAAGGAACATAACAGAAAAAAAAAAGGCGAAAAGAAATACTCATTACCCGTGAAATTCTTGAAACCACCGCAGAATCGAAGCCACCAAAGGGCAACGAAGATCAGTAGTAAATAATTACCCAGTTTCGAACCGGAAAATTTGGTTTAAGCCTAGCGACATTATTTCATACCCGGCATATAAAACCGGATCATACATAATTTTACTTCGGATCACAGTAAAAATATCAGTTACTTGGTGTCAGGTAAACGGGTCCTTGGATTTTTTGCAGGGCAATCTCCGCTATAGCAAAATTATTAAACGGGCATTTTACTTAAGCCACGCCAATTTAAACCTATGTTTTAACATAACCTTGCCTCTCTTCCTTTGGGCCTTAAACAAGGGTTTAATTAACACTATTTTAATATCGATATAAATTTTTAGCCAATCCAAACCTCATGTTTTTTTATCTTTTTTTAAAATCAATAATAGATGCTGAAATTGAAAAATCTAATTAGTTAGAGTTAGGTGATCAGCAGATTTTAACCAATAGGCATCATTCGCGACAAATACAAA